TATTATGGAACCGGGTACATAACACAATTTATAGCAAAATATGCAAGAGCTAAACTGGGAGAAGTTACTTTGAACAACTGCCGAATGAGCTATTTCCTTTTTGTCAAGGCCGAGTAAATTATTCCTACAATTTAAAGAAACAAGTACATTTTCACCCCCTCTCCCGGTATACCCTTCAGAGAGCATTACACTCAGTGGATAAGAACTTGCTTGTGGTCTTTGGCCCAAGAGAAATCTGGCTGCCCTCAACTAGGGCCATGGCTTTCAGTGCTCTGGCCCCAACCTGGTGGAACTCTCTGCCAAGTAGCATCCATGCCCTGTGGGACTTACTACAGTTCCACAGGGCTTGCAAGGCAGAGATGTTCCTCCAGGCATTTAGTTGAGGACAGCAATGGTGTCCATCTGGCTGGCATTCTCCCCCCTCCCCCCCGCAAGGTGGTAGCACAATTGGAACTTTAATCACCGTCTTCTTCTTCTTCTTTTTTTTTTGTATTGCTACTATGGAATTAAGGAATTTTGCTATTATGGAATTTCTTTGTGACTTTTATCTGTTTTAAATGGTTGTAGCCCAGAGGCACCATCTTACTTGCAGGTAGCCCTAAATAACAGGGCAGCCCACTTCTAACCTGAACCAGAGGCCCATAAACTCAGGTCAAGGAAGGCACTCCTGACTTGAAACACAGAGCTAACCACAGCTCTGGAAAAGGGTCTCCAGAGGCCCATAAACTCAGGTCAAGGAAGGCACTCCTGGCTTGAAACACAGAGCTAACCACAGCTCTGGAAAAGGGTCTCCATTTTCAGGTGGCATAAGGCAGCCTGCAGAGCAATTCTCCAGACTTCCCCCTCCGCCCAGCAGAGGTATGCATATGAAACAATGGATTCCACCAGGTAAAGTATTTACATATCTAAAGGCTATTCAGAAGCCACCTGGTGAACTGTCTCCAGAACTTCACCTAGCCCCTTTGTATACACCTATGTCTACATGAGAATCCTTTGTCTCCACAACTGTCTTTCCTGCTCCATCCCTCAGGATACCATGATAAACCAAGCATACATTCAAATGTTTTGTTGTTGTTGTTCAGTCGCACAGTCGAGTCCGACTCTTTGCGACCCCATGGACCAGATCATGCCAGACCTTCCTGTCTTCCGCCATCCTCTGAAGTTTGCTCAATTTCATGTTCGTTGCATCTATGACAGTGTCTAACCATCTCATCCTTTGCCGTCCCCGTCTTCTTTGACCTTCAATCTTTCCCAGCATCAGGGTCTTCTCCAGTGAGTGCTCCCTTCTCATTTGGTGGCCAAAGTGTTTGAGCTTCAGTTTCATTATCTGGCCTTAAAGGTTTCAGTTGCTCAAAAGCTACTTAAATCTGACTCTAGGGAGCCAGCGTTGTCCAAAGACATCTCCATGGTCATGTGGCCAGCATTACTAAACGCCGAAGAGCATGGAATGCTGTTACCTTCCCACCGAAGCGGTACCTATTTACCTACTTGCAATTTCTTGCTTTCAAATTGCTAGGCTGGCAGGAGCTCACTCTGTCATGCAGCACTAGGGTCTCAAACTGCTGAACTACAGACCTTCTGGTCTGCAGCTCAGTGTCTTAACCTCTGAGCTAATCAGGAACCCATCTCCCACCTTTTGTATAAACCTGGGAACCTATTCAACCTGCCCTAGCAGAACCATTAGTGGTCATCAAACCCATTCAACCAGCTCCAGTACAGCCACTCAGCACCTGGCTATTCCTATCAACACTATTGTAAATCCATATGCTACCCCTCTGGAATCTCATTGGTCACACCTACATGTTGTCCCTTCTGATGCCACACCCCCTGGGAATCCTGATTGGTCCAGGTAATCTTTTGTCTTCACCTGAGACAAGCCCCTCAAGACCGCTTATTTATCTGCATTGTATTCCAATGCCTATATCCATCCACACACATGACCATCAAGGTGTACACTCAGGACGGCGCCTATACTTTGAGTATACCCTCAGTCTCTTCTTTGGGCCTTCCCATACAGCATAACATTGGCTGTTGGCACTATTCTCTTCAAGGACCTCTGCACATCTGGACGGGTAGTATCACCCCGTAACTGACCCCTCTATTCAGTATCAATCACCTCTGCTTTCTTAGTTCTGTATTGCTTGCTCTTTTTGAATGCTTAGTGTGCTTGCAATTAGTGAAATTCTTAATAAAAAGGATTTAATTTACTCTTCAAATCTGGAGTCTTCCTACTGTACCAGACCTTGGTATAAACTGGTATGTGATCCCTGATACCCCTCTGGCCTCCCCTGCTAATTTCCCCAAACAACAAGGCAGGCCATTGGTGGTAACACTATGATATTATTTTGGTTTTGTTGTGCACCTCCCTGAGCCCTGTTGGGGAATGGGTGGTATAAAAGTAGAATATAATAAAGAAATATGGGAGGTAAATAGACATAATAGTGTGTATGAATAGGGAATGTGCTTTTGGCCTTATGTAATGTTCCACCAAAAACTAGTGGTATGTACTCCCAAATATATATCTCTCAGATGTTGTTCTTTCAACTATTTATTCTGTGGCAATTCATTGTCAGAAACAGAACTATTTCAAGGGGTTCAATAATTGGAATCAAGACTTTTCTAGACATAGTTATAGCGTCACAAATATTAGATTACAAGTAGGGGACCCACAAAGACTTGCAGGGATCATCCGATTTAACCTTCTCTCACTATTTCTCTTTCC